TGTTCTTGAAAAAGAGCCGTTTCTGTCAGAGCTCTCTCAGCCCCGCCTACCTCACAGGGTGTCTGATGTGGGGAGGGGAAGGGAAAGGAGTTTGTCAGCCGCTCTGAGACACCTTTGGGTAGTGAAGGGCGGGGTATAAATCCAATCTCCTCCTCTTCTTCTTCTTCTCTAGAACAGTCTTCGAAATTAACATCCAGACTAAGGCACCATAATTTAAGAAGGATACAGACAAGCTGGAACACGTCCAGAGGAGGGCAACGAAGACGCTGAGGGGTCTGGAGACCGAATCCTACGAGGAAAGGTTGAAGGAGCTGGGAATGTTTAGCCTGGAAAGGAGACGACTGAGAGGTGATACGATCACCATCTTCAAGTACTTGAAGGGCTGTCATAGAGAGGATGGTGTGGAGTGGTTTTCTGTTGCCCCAGAAGGTCGGACCAGAACAAACAAGTTGAAATTAAATCAGAAGTGTTTTCGGCTGAACATTAGGAAGAACGTCCCGACAGTTCGAGCGGTTCTTCAGCGGAACAGGCTTCCTCGGGAGGTGGTGGGCTCTCCTGCTTTGGAGGTTTTCAAGCAGAGGCCAGATGGATGCCTTGGAGGGTGGATTCTATGGCTTTGCGCACCACTGAGGTCCCTGAGTCTCCCCAGGCTCCATCCCCAAATCTCCAACAGTTTCCCAACCTGGAGCTGGTAAGCCCACCCCCCACTGGTGGCGGGGGGGGGGAATCTGGCAACCCTAGTTCAGACATTCGGCTCATCAGAGATTCAAACCTCTGTGGATAATGAAATACCTTTGTGATTCTGATACTTGGTAAGGCATGGGATACACTCTGAAGACTTCAGAAATCAAACTATTAAGCATGGTTCGTTTTTAACATAACGTTTTAATACATATCTTCCTCTGTTGGTAGAAGGGGAAGGAGGAGAAGAATCATAGAATCATAGAATGTTAAAGTTGGAAGGGACCTTGCAAGTAATCTAGTCCAACCCCCTGCACTCTGCAGGAGTATACTGAAAGATAGCCCTACATACCTACAAAATACCCGAAAGATGGTTGTCCAGCCTCCGCTTGAAAACGTCCAGAAGAAGAAGAAGAAGGAGAAGAAGAGGAGGAGGAGGAGGAGATTGGATTTATACCCCGCCCTTCTCTACCCAAAGGAGTCTCAGAGCGGCTTACAAACTCCTTTCCCTTCCCCTCCCCACAACAGGCACCCTGAGAGATCTCACTCGAGGACTGCCCTTGAGATAACAGCTGTGCCAGAACTATGGCTTGCCCAAGGCCGACTCCTCTCCTTGAATTTCAAGGTCTTGTTGCTTACCTAATGGAAATAGCAAAGCAAAGGAAACTAAGTGGGATATTTTTGTTGTTCCAAAAGCGAAGGCATCTGGAACCTAGCGGTGGAGAGTGACGTCAAATTCCAGCCGACTTATGGCAACTCCGTAGTGTTTTCAAGGCCAAAGATGAACAGAGGTGGTTTGCCAACCCTGCTTAGCTTCCACATGGATGTTCTGCCTCTATTGACACACCCCAAGATCGCATTAGCCTTTTTTGTCGCTGCATCACACTGGCAGCTAATATTTAACATACAGTCCACCCGTAATGCCATAGAAAGCAGGGATTTTCTCCAGGGGAATTAATCTCTGTAGCCTGGAAATCTCCATGCCCCACCTGGAGGTTGGCAAACAATGTTCCCTCTAATTCTCTCTCTCTCTCTCTCCCTCCCCCCCCCCACCAAGGGAAGCAGTCCACATGCTGAGCAGAATATAACTGCTGTGATCTTAAAATGGGCAATGGGCAGTGCAAGACCCTGCATGGCTCCAAACTGCTGCTGAGTGGGGCTTCCCATGTTAATGAGTGGCCGCTCATGCCCACAGCTCAGAGGGAACACTGCTGGCAACCGTGCCCGCTACCATCCCTCAAAATTCCAGAAGTGCCCACAGGTTCAACAAAGTTAGGATCATCTGCTCTACAGCCACAGAACGGTGCTGCTCTATCCAGAAGAGAACAAGAGAAGCGAAGAGACTGGATTTATACCCCCACCCTTCACTACCCGAAGGAGTCTCAGAGCAGCTTACAAACTCCTTTTCCCTTCCCCTCCCCACAACAGACACCCTGTGAGGTCGGTGGGGCTGAGAGAGCTCTCTCGAGGACTGCCCTTGAGAGAACAGCCCTGAGAGAACTTATGACTGGAGAAGAGATTGGATTTATACCCCGCCCTTCACTACCTGAAGGAGTCTCAGACAGGCTTACAATCTCCTTTCCCTTCCCCTCCCCACAACAGACACTCTGTGAGGTCGGTGGGGCTCAGAGAGCTCTCTCGAGGACTGCCCTTGAGACAACAGCTCTGAAAGAACTTATGACTGATCCAAGGTCACGCCGACAGCTGCATGTGGAGGAGTGGGGAATCAAACCCGGTTCTCCCAGATCAGAGTCTGCGCTCCTAACCACTACACCACACTGGCTCTCCTGGAGCTGTAGTAGCCTGGAGCTGTAGTTCTGGGAGAGCTCCAGGCCCCACCTGGAGGTTGGCAACCCTAAGGCTGCTGGGCCGCTTCCATCACCTGCGCAAATACCAACCGGTTCACCACTCGAGTGAATCTGCATCCTTCCTGGCCACAGGAAGCATCCAAAAAAGTGGTGACGGACTGCAAAAGCCCACCCTTCTCATTCAGCCGCCCCTCTGACTTCTGCTCTCAAACTCCCAAACATGCCCTGCCAACCCTCAGGACTAGAAACTTATTTTTTTTAAAGAAAAGACAAAAGCAGAGATTCCTGAGAAACTTCTCCCCCATTGTGCCATTTTCGTGTTTGGCCTCGCAGCATTCGCAGCACGCACCGAACCCCCAGGGGGCAAAACAGATGCTATAAGAGCAGTGTTCCCTCTAAGCTGAATTAGTGTGAGCTAGCTCAGTTTTTTAGCCCCTGGCGCACACATTTTTTGTCTCAGTTCAGGAAGGAGGGCTCCAGAGCAAACAAATTGATGCCGCAGCCCAATCGTTCGCTCACGGCTTTCGTGCCAGTAGCTCACGAAGTAGAATTGTTGATCACAAGACTCCACGGCTTAGAGGGAGCATTGTATAAGACGGCCAACAAAGGCACTGGCAATGTTCCCTCTAAGCTGTGGAGTCTTGTGAGCAAAAAATCTACTTTGTGAGCTACTGGCATTAAAGTTGTGAGCGAATGATTTGGCTACTGCATAAATTAGTTTGCTCTGGAGCCATCTTTCCTGAGCCAAGACAAAAATGTGTGAGCCAGAGGCTAAAAAACTGTGAGCAAGCTCACACTAACTCAGCTTAGAGGGAACACTGGCGCTGGGCACTAGAAGAGCAAAAAAAAAAACCTGCCAGGTCTGGGGGAGTTCTGCCAGGGGGAAAGCCTCCTGCCAAGTCCATCGCACCTACAAATCAGCAGCAGATGCCGTACATAGATATTGCTACCCGGCGCATACCAATTGCGGGAGTCTCGCCATCCATAAGAACTCATAAAAGCAAGGCATGTATAATTCATGCAAGCCTGGAAGCAGACAGCATTAGCGAGAGAGAGAGAGAATGCACACTTCAAAACAAAGGAAAAATATGAAAGGAGGGCACCTAGAGACAACAAGCGGAGACCGTGTACCTGAAACTCCTGCTCTCCCGGGTTTGTGAATAGAAAATGAGTGACGGTGAATGAAATCAGCAGTTTTTTCTGGCAGAAATCAGGATACCGGGAAGCAACGTTGGTCCTGAGAACCAGAGCCCGAGAGAACACAGAAGGTTCTCTTTGATGGAGCCTGATCCACATATCAGAGCCAGTTTGGTGTAGTGGTTAAGAGTGCAGACTCAGATCTGGGAGAACCGGGGTTGATTCCCCGTTCCTCCACGTGCAGCTGCTGGAGTGACCTTGGGTCAGTCACAAGTTCTGTCAGAGCTGTTCTCTCACAGGTAGTTCTCGAAAGAGCTCTCTCAGCCCCCACCTGCCTCACAGGGGTGTTTGTTGTGGGGAGGGGAAAGGCAAGGCGATTGTAAGCAGCTCTGAGACTCTTTCGGGTAGTGAACAGGGGGGTATAAATCTCTTCTTCTTCTTCTTTTCTTCTTCAAAACATGAAACGGTTTTTCCTTATAGGCCAGAGAAGATCCGCATGGACAAGGGATATTCATTTATTTAATTCATTTACTATACCTCGCTTTTCTCACCAAATGGGGACTCAAAGGAGCTTACGTCATTCTCTTCTCCTCCATTTTATCCTCACAACAACTGTGTGGGGTAGGTTAGGCTGAGAGACTGTGACTGGCTCAAGGTCACCCAGAGGGCTTCCATGAAAGACTGGGGATTCGGGGGGGGGGAGAGAGAGAGAGAGAGAGAGAGAGGACGAGGACGAGAAGAAGAGGAGTAGTAGTTTGGATTTATACCCCGCCCTTCACTTCCCGAAGGAGTCTCAGAGCGGCTTACAAACTCCCTTCACCTCTCCACCACAGACACCCTGTGAGGTAAAAGAAGAAGAAGAGATTGGATTTATACCCCGCCCTTCACTACCCAGAGGAGCCTCAGAGCGGCTTACAAACTCCTTTCCCTTCCCCTCCCCACAACAGACACCCTGTGAGGTAAAAGAAGAAGAGATTGGATTTATAACCTGCCCTTCACTACCGAAAGGAGTCTCAGAGCGGCTTACAAACTCCTTTCCCTCCCCTCCCCACAACAGACACCCTGTGAGGCAGGTGGGGCTGAAAGAGCTCTGACAGAAACTGCCCTTTCAAGGACAGCTCAGGACAGCTCTGACAGAACTATGGCTTGCCCAAGGTCATCCAGCAGCTGCACATGGAGGAGTGGGGAATCAAGCCCGGTTCTCCCAGATTAGAGTCCGCGCACTTCACCACTACACCAAACTGGTAAAATGTGATTGTTTTAAAGGGCCGGCCGAGATTGTTTGTGAAGCAAATCACAGCCCGGTCGATCTCAAAACCCCCCCCCCATTTAATAGGTCCCTGATATTCATCGGATTTTCTGCAGGCGTTTTACCTTGGCCCTGCTCTAGCGATCGGTGAGGAGGGGAGGCATAATTCTCTCCGCTGACATGCCCCAAGCGGGTTGTTTGGATGGAGCCGAGCGATTCTAATTATAAAGAACCTCCGTCAGCTCTTTCCCACTGCTGTTCGCCAAGAGGCTATAACCGGGCAGGGTCCCGGGAGCTCTGTTGCCTTCCCTTCCCAGCCGGCGTTCCTGCAGCATCGCCCTGACAGACGGAGGATCAAGGCATCAGCAGGGCCAGAAAAATAAGTTCCTTTAAAAAAAAAAATAGGGTCAAAAAGATAGGGAGGAGGGCAACTGGGGAAGAGGTGTGCACTGGGCGTGCCAACTTCTCTTCTATAAAATTAAAAAATTAAATAATCAAGCGAAGAATCTATAAACTAATGATATAAAATAATAAGAATGTTCCATTCCGCTCCATGTTTCTTTTTGTGTAGTGGTGAAGTGTGCGGACTCTAATCTGGGAGAACCGGGTTTGATTCCCCCACTCCTCCACTTGCACCTGCTGATGTGACCTTGGGTCAGTCACAAGCTCTGGCACAGCTGTCCTTGAAAAAGAGCCGTTTGTGTCAGAGCTCTCTCAGCCCCACCCACCTCACAGGGTGTCTGTTGTGGGGAGGGGAAGGGGAAGGCGTTTGGAAGCCGCTCTGAGACTCTAAGTGAAGGGCGGGGTATAAATCCAATCTCTTCTTCTCTTCTCTTCTTCTTCTTTAAAATACCATGGATTTTTTTCTAGGATAAAGTGCAGAAAATAAACAAGTTAAGCATTGGTTTGCTCCTAACAGACATTGAACTGTATCAAGAGGCTATACCTTGCTATACAGTAGGATTACTCCTGAGGAAGATTGGGATGAAATGAGTTTATATCCGGGTACTCATTGAGTATGATGGACTTTCCTTGTAATTGAGTATGATGGACTTCCCTTGAAATTTTGTAAAGCTTTATTGAGAGTATGACGACCTTTTCCTTGTATTTTGTAAAGTTTGATTCATTACACAGGGGTCATTTCGTAGAAAAAGAGGTGCAGGAGCTCATTAGCATGCCTCATTTGCATATGCCACACCCCCTGACATCACCAGAAGTGTGTGAGAAGGCAACACCCACCGCTCAGGCTCCATGGGACTGTTTTGGATTGCTAGCTATTGGGGGGGGGGGCGTGCAGATCTGTCCTCGCAGAGGAGGGAGAGCTTTTACCTGAATAACACTTGGTCTTAAAGGCTCCACTGGACTGTTTTGGATTGCTAGCTATTGGGGGGGGGAGCGTGCAGATCTGTCCTCGCAGAGGAGGGAGAGCTTGTACCTGAATAAAACTTGGTCTTAAAGGTGCCACTGGACTGTTTTGGGCCGGGGGGGGGGCTCTGCAGCTTACCTGGCTGCTTCTTGCTCTGACTGAGGGCTGCTGGGAGCAGGGGGTGGGGCTCGTTGCATGTGCCCGCCCCCTGGGCTCTTTACTGCCGGAGCTCCGCTCCTGTGCGCTCCTGCAGGAAATGACCCCTGATTATACAACATAATCTTTACTAAATGTTCTAGTCACTCATGTCACAGTGTTGTTTGTTTGTTGTATTTTCCTCATGGATACCTGTGACCCCCCCCTCTTGGTTTTTTCAACTTCTGGGTGGGGCTTGGAGATGTCCTGCTATTACGAGTGAGCTCCAGATGACAGAGATTGGTTTCCTTGGAGAAAACGGACTCTACGGCGTTATACCCTGCTGAGGCGTGACTCCTCAAACCCACCCCAAAATCTCCAGGAATTTCCCAGCACAGAGCTGGCAACCCAAAGTTTCTCTCGGCCCCACCTACCTCACAGGGTGTCTGTTGCGGGGAGGGGAAGGGAAAGGAGATTGTAAGCCGCTCTGAGACTCCTTCCAGTAGTGAAGGGCGGGGTATAGATCCAATCTCTTCTCCTTCAATCCTAAGAACACCTTCCTAGGACTAGAAGGCCACTGAGTACACCTAAGCAGGATTCTGAGTTTACCCGCTTAGGTTTGCAGTCTGAGACTCGTAGATCAAGAACGGCTACCAAGGAATAATTTAAAAAAAACAAAACCCAATCAATCCAACCCTCAGGAATGCTGTACATTCACATTTTAAAAGATTTAATATTGATTTTAACCAACTCCTGTCAACATCAGCTACATTCCCCCCCCCCCTTATTGCTAGACAGAAAGACACAGCAGTTTTGACCTTGAAAAGGCAAATTCTTTTCCAATTGTAGAGAACACGACCCGGGGGGCTGGGGATCCAACCCTCTGTTTCTTTTCCATCACATCTGGCCTACGGCGAAGGGACCGAGCCAACTCATTCAAACTTTCATCTGCTCCTAAGACGGCGTTGCTGTTAAATAAAACTAGGGGCTTTATTTCACAGAAGACGAGAAAGCAACCGAAGCCAATCCAAAAAGGGGGGGGGGCTCCCAGCGTCTTCTCCAGCTGCTGTGACAGCAAATATCTATTATGCATCAACTGTCATTATACAAGATATGATTTAAAGGACAAGGGCAAGCCATTCTATCTGCCCTGCTGTAAAATATACAATGAAGGGGGTCCCAGCAGTGAGTGCTCTCTCATTACTGCAGGACACATTACAGTGCCTTTACCAAACGCGCTGATGCATTTACCGGAACGGCACCATCCTCTATAATTAAAAATTAAAGAATAATAAAAAAGAGAGACACATTATTGTTCGACACCCCCACACCCCGGGATTTCCATCCGCGTTTATCATAAATGGGTCTATACTTTGCCCATGCTCAGTGGTTACCGGATGCCTTTTACCAGGGGTCGTTTCGTAGAAAAAGAGCTAGGGGAACTCATTAGCATAACTCATTACCCATGAGGGGCCCTGCGGTGGACCTGCAAGGCCGGCGGGAGTGCAAGGAAGCCCCGCGAAGGCCCTCCCTGGCCCCAGGCAGGCAGGGGTGGGGAGAGGCAGGGAGGAAGCAACTTACCCTCCCTCTTCTCCTGCCTCCTCCTGGCTGAATGAGGGCCAGAAGCGGGGCGGCCGGAAGCAGGGGGCGGGGCTTCGTCATGTGCCCCGCCCCCCGTACCTCACCCGGGGGAACTGCGATCCCCCGCGATCCCCCTCGAAATGACCTCTGCCTTTTACCAGCTAACAGGTCTCAAAGGAAAAAGGAGAGTGGGTAATACTCATTTTTCAACAGAACAGCCAACCAACTCGTTTTTATTTTTGCGATTTTGATCCCACACTACCCTGCAAGCATTTATTTAATTTATATCCTACTTTACACCCCTCTGGTGGGATCAAGGTGGCATCTTCCCCCTTCCATTTTCTCACAACAACCACCTTGTGGGGTGGGCCGGGCTGAGAGTTTGCAATGGGACCAAGGTCACCCAGCGAGCTTCCATGGTAGAAGCGGGGATTTGAACCCAGGCCTCCCAAGATCCTAGTCCAATACTCTGTCTAAGAGGCCACGCTGCCTCAGATAACCTAGCCAGAAAGAAGGAAAGGGTAGCAAAAGTCACACCTCTGCTATGGGTGCTAGAAAGACCAAATGGGAGCATCACCTCTCCCTAAGAGCAACCAATGAGAGCTGACAAATGGTGGTGAGTGAACGGCTGGAAAACAGTAGTTAGGTGAGCAGTTGGCAGCGAGGGAGTTGAGAGGGGGGAAAGTATGTCTGGCTGAATGAAAGTGTGGAGAAGAGCAGCTCAGAGCTGGCTGAAAAGAGCCAATTCGTAACAAAGGATCCCAACTACTGGAATAGGTAGAAAAGAGCAAGAGTCCAGTAGTACCCTAAAGACTAACAAAATCTGTGGCAGGGTCTGAGCTTTCGTGAGTCACTGCTCACTTCTTCAGAACTGAAGAAGCGAGCAGTGACTCACAAATGTTCACACCCTGCCACAGACTTTGTTATTCTTTAAGGTCCTACTGGACTCTTGCTCTTTTCTGTGCCCGCTATTGTCATTTGCCTGCTATTGTCATTCGGCATCTGGAATCACTCCACTCTCCAAGGTGTAAGGACAGAAGGACTCACATTCTAGATGTATCTGAAGAAGTGTGCAGTGATTCAGGTAAGCGCATACCCTGCCACAAATTTTGTTTGTCTTTAAGATGCTAGGTAAAGGTAAAGGTTCCCTTGCTCGAAAGCCAGTCGAGTCTGACTCTAGGGTTGCGGTGCTCATCTCCGTTTCAAAGCCGAAGAGCCAGCGCTGTCCAAAGACGTTTCCATGGTCATGTGGCCGGCATGACTAAACACCGAGGCGCACGGAACGCTGTTACCTTCCCATCGAAGTGGTCCCTATTTATCTACTTGCAATTTCTTGCTTTCGAACTGCTATGTTGGCAGGAACTGGAACTAGAGACGGGAGCTCACTCCGTCATGCGGCAACTCAGGTCTCGAACTGCTGAACTACCGACCTTCCACAGCCTGCAGTTCAGCGTCTTAACCACTTGAGCCACCGCAGTTCCTCTTTAAGATACTACTGGATATCTGAAGAAGTGAGCAGCGACTCAGAAAAGATTATGCCCTGCCACAAAAAGTGCTCCTGGACTCTTGCTCTTTTCTACTGCTACAGATAGCCACGGCCACCCATCTCGATCTTGCTGGAATAGGGAAACAGTTCAAAAGTTCAGTTGGGAACGAAACCTTGTGAGACACACACCTTACTTTCTTTGTTATCTTCAAACCATAAATAAAAATTAACTCCTTGTTTGTTTAAATCTGTGAAATGTGTGTCTCTGGGGAAGAAACACACACACACCAGTGAAGATATCGGTCCATACATATTTTATCGGTCCACAAATGGTGGCAGCATGTGGCTGAAACAGTGTATAAGCCCCCAATAACTCTGATGACCTGTTATGAAAGGAGGGGGGCTACCCTGTCATGTTATTATCAGTGGCTACTACGGTAGCCATGGTGACTGAGGGGAACCTCCACATTCAGAGGCACTAAGCTTCTGAATCCCAGAGCCAGGAGGCAACATCAGGGGAAGGCCTCAGCCTCTATGCCCTTTTGTTGCCCGTTCAGAGGAACTGGTTGGCCACTGTGCGGGACAGGATGCTGGACTAGATGGACCTCTGGTCTGATCCAGCAGGGCTCTTCTTAGTTTCCTAACCAGGGGAAGACCTCGGCCTCTCTGCCCTGTTGTTGGCCCTCCAGAGGAACTGGTTGGCCGCTGTGTGAGGATGCTGGACTAGATGGACCTCTGG